TGTCTGTCGTGCCCCCATCACTTAAGTCCGTTTAACGATTAGGTGGTGAAGGCAGTGCTTTTTTTTTGACAGGATGTAAACTTTTAAGTTGCCTTTTTGTGCTTTCATAGGAAGCTTTTTGTTTAACAGTAGCTGTAAACTATGTTTGCTTTGCCACCTTAGCTGCAGCCCTTTTTCATATTCCGTGGCAAGTTCATGCTTTTATTTCACATTTCAGGTAAGGTGCACTTCCAAATTTTCGGTCACCCGTTTTTTTCTCCTCTTTTTCTTTTGACGCTGTGCTGGGGCAGAATTCTGATTGATTTTTATTTTGTCATGCTTATGCAAAAAAGGCATTTTACTACAGAGAACGTTGTCTGCAAGCTGTACATCAAAGAACATTCCGGACGATTCGGTAATGTCTGTTGAGGAAGATCAAACGGATGATGGATGTCGCTCGAAGGTATTGCCGACGGGGACTAAAACCGGTGAAGAAGAAATTTCAGTGGTTGCCCAGTCAAGTATCAGTGCTCCTGTGGTGTCTGATGGAGGGCCAGCAGCTCCAGCTCCTCTGGCGAAATTCGAAAATTTAGAATCAGCGCTGACAACTACGCTGGGTACTCAGGCTCGTTGCACAACTGTGCCGCATATCGTTAATTCAGCAGTACCACATTACCTTGTTAATAATGTTAGTAGTACAGCAGTAAGCCAGAAACAGGGCCTGACACAGGTATCTTCACTGGGTGCAATGCAACAGGTCACGTCTGGAAGTTGTGAAGCAGCGACACGAACATTCACCGGCGAGCTTATGCCTCCGGGATCCACTGCTGGTGCTGCGGCTGCTGCTTCTGCAGCTGCTGCTACTGCTGCTGTATTTCATGTCGGCACGCCACCACCGCAGTATAGCGATTCGGCTAGTCAAACGGAAATGATCAGTACGAGAGATCCGCTGGACTACCTGTTTAGCCCGACGACATCCTACGGTTCCGACTATGACCTGCAGGTTTCTTATTTTTTGTTTTTTATAACAGTTTGCAGTAACTAACATGAGCCTATAGCGCAGTGGTTATGCAGTAGTGCTTTGTTGCCGTCTTCCCTTAATATCCTAAAATAAAAGAAGGGCTTAATTTTTGCCCAGAATGTACGGCGCGTTGATTCCTGTCCATTGATCGTCGCGTTGACCCCTGTCCAACGACTTTATAAATTAGCTTCTTTGATTGCGGTCAGCACTTAAATCATCTGGTTCTGCTTTTTTCTTGCTCACTGTTACCGAATATAAGTAACATTTTCTGTGGCCTTGGATGCGCACCCTGTTTCTTTTCCTACAACTTCGAAATAAGGCTTTTGGTCATTGGTGAGCTGTCACACATGTATTTAGATGAGTTTTTGTCAGTGCTGAGGCCAGAATTAAGTGAGTGAGTGATTGCTGGGACCCACATATGGGATGCATTTTCATATTTTGCGTGGAGAAGCTCGGTGCTGCAAATAAGTGAGATTATATACAGCGGTCACTATCCTGTTTCAGCGCCT